AAATGTTTAAAATAATTTTTTTATGCCATTAATGGGCTGACATATTGTTATACAATCCTAGGCGAATAAGCCTTAGGTTACTTTATATATATATATATATATATGCAGGTTACTATTATTAATTATCAATTTATAATATATTCATGTGGATGTCAAGTAGTATACTTCCTCTAGTTTTTCATATTGGTCACCTGGAAGAAATGGATGGTCCAATATATTAGTCATGGAGTGGAATATTAATTAATTTCTTCATAATTATATTTCCCCTCTTCCAATCATTTACGACTACATTTAATTATTAGAGAGAATTTTTTTATCAATTCATGCTGGCAAAATTGGAAAAATATTTCATTTATAGATAATATTAATAACTTAACTAGCTCATTTTAGTTTCAAAAAAGAGGTTACACGTCACTTGTATAAAAAATTAGAGGGTATACAGTATAAAATAAAATTTTAAAAAATTTCAATTACAAATACTGTTATTGACTAAATTATCTCTCTTTAGTTTTAATGAAATAGTTAAATGACTTGTATAAAGTAGTTGCAATTGTTAAGAACAAGTTAGAGGTAGAAAAATGGACTAGCTCAAACCCTAAAGGGTTGGCTTTTTTTGGGCTCGAATCTAAAAAAACCAGCTCATTTAAATTCATTTACCCTTCGAGATTCTCATATGCTAAGCCTGACCCTTAGCATTGCGAGCTCAAGGTCGGCCCATGGGGTTTCAAGCCTTTTTACTATTTTTTTTAATATTTTTTATCAAACTAAAAATACTTTAATAAGTTTAAATGGGTTTAAATAAGCTTAGAAAGTTTAGTTTAACATTTTTTGATAAAAAAAATTTTAAAAATAGATGCAAGCTTCAATGGGCAACCCTTTGCCCATTCAAGCTAACCCATTTAAGCGTACTTAAAATGGGCCCATTAGAGCTAGTTCATTTTGTGATTTCAAAATCCTATATGTAAGCTCAGCATTCCTATTAAACAGACTTAAATAGTTAAGTTTATTGAGCTCGGCTCATTTTTCTTGCTCAAACTATAAGTAGATATTAGCGATGAAAATAAGTCAAATCAAACCAAATTTTGGCCAAACAGACTTGCGCTTACATAGTAGGCTTTACAACATTAAAGAGGCTTTAGTCGTTAAAGCCTACAGTCAACCTAATAGATGTAATATGTATTAATCATTAACTTTAACTATTTAAACAATAATATAATTACACACACATACCCATATGTGTATATATATGTCACACCTTAAAAATTAAACATGATCGGTATGGGATGTATGCATAAACAGACATCCCTTGAGCTTTGATTAAGAAATCTCTAATCTAATATTTAAATTAATATGAAATACAATTCGGAAATTATTGAAACATTTTCCTTTAAACAAAAAGCTTTCTAAACTTTTTGTAGAAATTTTAGCAGGACTTCCTCTATAAATAGAACCTCTTGAAGTCTCTACATTAGCCATATATAGCCCAAATCAAAAATGTAGAGCACTGCTCCTCCATAACAAATAGACAAATAGATTATAGATAATAATCTTATCTATAATTAACATGGAGCAACTAATTATAAATTCAAAATATAACACATAATTAAGTATTTATATCAAAAAGAATGTATCCTCAAAAGATCTTCTAATCAATCTAGCAATGAGCCCTCAAAAGTCAACAGAAGGTACAGCATCAATTATGTTATCTGAAATTAAATAAATACTTTCTAGTGAATAACGTTTCAATATTAATAAAATTTAAAATAAAATGAATAAATGACAATAATTATATAAATTAAAGAGACAACAATTTCATATAAAATATTTTATAAACTTTGAACATAAGAGATTTCATATAGCTTTAAGTAAAATCTTAAACCATTAAATTTATAATATCAAATATCCTTATCACTTGATCTCAAGAAGACAAATAATTAAAATAAATAAATATAGTAACATTTACTAATTTAAACCAATAAAGTATGAAATCACCAAATAATTAAAAACCATATTTCTGGAGACTTAAGAGAACAATTAATAAATGTGGACACACAATCCACAAGAGTAAATAACTGAATGCGATTTAAACTACGAAACATACATGAACACACAATTCATGAGGGTAACTAACCAAACATGGTTGAAGTCATGAAATCGATACAGGTACAAGACTCACAAATAATAGACATGAGAATAAAGCCCACAAAAATCAAACAAACTAATCATTGGCCAAGGTGCGCCAAGGGCTAACAGGACTATCGTTAACAATTAGTGTTCTATATAAAGTCCCTTCAAAACCAATTTTCAAACATATGAGAAAATAATCATTATCGAAATAAAATTGTCTTTTCAATATCAAATTTGCATGAATCATTTAAAACATCAATCCTTCTAAATATAAAAATTTATGATTAACATCTCATAAATTTCTTCACCAATTTTCATGATTGTCTTTATATTGCTAGAACTTGTAGTAGCATTTTCATAAATTTGATAAGCATATGTCATGACTTCAAGAGCTAAAGTAATTTAATTAATAAAACAATCAATACTACAAAAAAAAAAATATCTTAATAATTGTGAATTATTGAAAATAATATTTTAATAAAAATAAATTAGCTCATAACTTAATTGGGCTACTATTTACTTATCCGAAACATTCTCAAGCACATAACTTTCTTTTAGTTTTAATTAGCCACTATGTAATATTGCCTGCGCCTTAATTTCCGATAAAACAAGGACAGATGAAGAGCAGGAATCTAAACTCCCTTCACCGAAACTGTAGCCATGAAAGGGAAAGAAGGGTTTGAAGCAGAAAACAGGCGAGGAAGAAGAAGAACCTGCAAGTCCCCATGGTGACCTTCAACACTAATGAAACAGACTCTTCCGTGCACCCACAGTGAAGCGTCAACTGAACAAGGGAAGAAAAGAGGAGATCGGCATAGAACAAGGGAAGACAAGGAAGAGGTCGCTATCTGGTCGGCATTCCAACAATGGCAGATCTCGCTCCTCTCACACACCCTGGCGCAGGGAAAAAGGAAAAACCAAGGAGGAGGAAGACGAAGGGAGAGATGGGATAGAGGGATGATGCCTCTGGAATTCTCTCTCCCCTTCTGCTCGAACGCTGCATCCCCCAAGTGCAAAGGAATGGAAGGGAGAAAAATATAAAAAGGAACCGTGCTCTCTCCTTTCTTCTTTTATTTTATTATTTTTTTTGTTTTTTTAGGGCATTATGGTAATTTTAAAAACCGAATTCAGGAACCAAATGTGGGCAACAAACATGGGTTACACTAAGCAACTCATTTCCTGTTGCATCTATTCCACTTTTTTTTTTAATAAAAATATCATCAAAATCCATTATTATTAATTTCAAAATTTAATTATTTTCAGGCTCATTACAATATAGGCCTGACCATGTGACTTGTTTGGCCTATTTACTTGATGGGCCAGGTCAAACTCAATCGCTAGTACAGATCTAGATTAAAACTTCTTGTATAATCTTTGATAGGCATGAGTGTAAAAGAAAAAGAGGTTTTTAATATAATGTGATTTATTTTTATTCAAGTTTTTATAAGTTAGAAGTGAAAAGAAAAGAAAATTACCAGGGGACATTTGATTCTAATTGAGAAAGTTAAATCAATTTATTTCTCCAAATTTTTTAGAATACCAAGCAACAGAATCAAGAAAAAAGAAAATACTTTAAAGATATTAAGCATTCAATAGTGAGCCTTATTGTGTGTGTGTGTATGATTCCGAAAAGAAATATTAGATAATGAAAATAGGAAAATGGTAAAATTAAAAGAAAGTAATAATCTATCTTTTAATGGGGGGAAAAAAGACTTGATAAAAATACAATTAATTTCTTATAGAAGGTGACTTGTATAAAAGAAATATAAAAGAAAATACTCATTTTTTCTAATTGTCATTCTTTAATACAAATAATTTTTTTTTGGTAAATATTACCAATCATTAGTTATTTCTTCAAAATTCTAAGGATTATTGTTTTTATAATTAGGTGATTTTGATATACTACTAGTACATTTTTGGATAAAAAGACATTAATTACCTATAAAAATCTATAAATCACCTTTTATATACTGAAAGCTAGGACTTCCAAGGAAAAATGTCTTCTAATATGAAATAGAGGTAAAATATCAAACATAAGAGTAAAAACTAGTCTTACCTCAAGCCAATGATTTTTTAGAAGTGTCATTAAAGATGTTTCTAGACATGAAATATGAAATAGGAACAGATAAGATTATATATGAAACAATGAAATGCAAATACAGTTAAGATGGGTTTCAACTATCTTTCATTGAATTCAATTATTGAACCCATATCCCACTCCATTTACCTTGAATATTCATTTGCATTCACCACTTGATTTACTTTCATTTCCCCTTCAATTATAAGGGGCAGAAAACACTTTCTCCTCGTATCCCTAAAAACAGAAAAGAAAAGGGAAAAAGAAAAGACTTTCTCCCATTTAGTTAGCCACAACTTCCAAGGGAAGACCCTGCCTGTCAAATTCTATCTTCAATCACTTATCTTCCTCGACATGGATCCTACTGTACTCGATCAATGCAAAGCCTTAGTGATCTCCTAGTTATAAGTGATTTTTAATCTTGTCATATTATACTTCCATCATGCAAGAATCTATGATCTCATGTCTGAGGGCATATATAGTAACACAACTATAATAAAATTCAGGAAAAATTACATACAGATCACATATAAAAAAATTAATTACTATAAGATCTATTAACAATTGAGCTAAAATCATTGACAACACATTAATGACCTTAGTTCAATTGTTAATAGACCTTATAATAATTAATTTTCTTACATTGGATTTCAATGTAATTTTCCCTAAGATATACTTATCACCAAATTCATGTGAGCCTATCTCATGATAGGTTTTTTATGTGCCTTGGTCTCCAACACGTGCCTGTGATTCCGTCATTTTGATTTGCATTTCCTTATATGATATCTCATGTCTATCAAACAAAATCATACCAATCTTTATTCATTATTATTCTCACAATAATACACCAAAGATTGCCATGAGACATCGACAATAATTCTATAAATATTCATAGATCCTTATTATAAAATAATCATGACAGAATTATGATGATAATAAAACTTGATTAAAAACAAACAACCTATATGCAACATACGATTAGCTTCACAATTACCATAAGAATGCAATGCAAAAATGTCCTATATACTTTGGGAAGTAATCATGCCTATCTACCAGAATGACCTATCTACTTCACTTCTTCCCCGAATCGGGTGGTGAGATGGTCAAAAGCGCAACACGAAATTTCTTCTCACCCTTCGAGTTCCAGAGGGTTGGAATTTTCTTCAAAACCTAAAGGTTAACATCAATGAAAAATTATGAGTTGTCATCAGAAACTGATGGATTTGCTATATTTAGTTAGTTTAAAAAAATATATATATATATATATATATATAAATATTTTATGGATATCAAGCATGTAGATTTTCTAGTATACATTTCATTTCATTTCATTTCATGGACAAATATGCCTCACAATAGGATAATGAAATCATTGCGCAATTCTGTTAAGCTTTAACCTGAGGCATCGTGCACAACTTGCAATGTATATGTATGACATTAACACATCATCAAAATCTTGATGGTTGCCGCAAAGATACAGACGCCTACGAATCTACGATGTCAAACACAAGCAATGAGAACTGAGAAGAATGAGACGACAGAAGGCACAAAAATTGACAGGCAAGCAGACGGTATAGATTTGATGTCCATATACTATATCCATTCACCAAACAATTATCCGACAAATTTATTCTAGTGAACTCCACCATGACAACAATCATGTAGAGTAGGTAACTGATACGAGCAATGCACTATTTTCAAAGAAAAAGTTAGGCTTTATAGATGGTTCAATACCGTGTGACAACAACTAACTCGCCCAACTTGAGCCATTGGATGCAGTGTAATGCTATGGTAAAAGGTTGTTGAAGAGTAGAATGGAAACGGAAATGAGAGACAGCCATGAGAAAGATATATGGGTAGATCCAGAAGAAAGGTTGGGAAAGGAAGTGCTTCAAGAGAATATGAATCATAACAAGCCATAACCCTCCTCAACCAAGAAAAACAATATCTTCTATCGGACTGCACAAAGCTTAAAGGAGTGTGGGATGACATGTGGCCGCTGGCACCATGACTGATATGCATATGCAGTGGGTGCATTTGTGACACGCAAATGCAGGTGACTGAAATGAAGGAAAGGGAACAATTGATTTCTTAACAGGACTCAATGAAGCATTTGGAACCATCAAAAGTTCAATTCTTGCAATGAAACCATTGCCCAGCCTTACAACTAAGGATGAGCAGCAGTGGCAAATATCAGCCACGAACAAATCTATATACCAAAAGCCTTCGCCTTTCAAGCTCAAGGCACTCACTATGAGAAAGATATGATTGATTGAAAAAAGTAAAAGAAACATAAGCTACAATGTAACCATTGTCAAAAGTTGGGACACGCTGAGGATCACTGTTTAGAAATGATTGGGCATTCATCGGATTTGAGAAAGGGAATTCAGGATAGAAAAGTGAAGCCAACCACTAAAACTGGACAAAAAGTAGTGTAAGTTAATTCATGTGAAAGCCCAATAGTAGGATTAATAGAGGCTGCTATGAATACACTACTAAGAATGCTAGCTCCCAAAGCCAATCTGCTCAACCCAATGCAAATAAGGCTAGTAAAAATTCCAGCATAGGCCTATGAGTTATCAATTATAGGGCAACCAAGCACATTACTTGTGACTGTGACCTCAAAAAAAATCAAGAAAGACCACCAAGCACAGACCAATCCAAATTTCTAATGGACAGTGTCTACTAGATGAGGGTGTTGGAAGAGCCAAGGCGCAATGCTGTTTTGAATATTCCAATGAAATTTACATTCAAAGCTGATGAGAGAGCATAAATTTACAGACCTTAACTGCAAGGACATGGTTAGAGTAGGCAATGTGACAGTTTATACATCCTAGAGCCAGTACAAGATGAAGGGTAGTTATGGTAGTCGGCAAGGCAAGCAACCCAAAAATTTGGCACCAGAGATTGGGTTGTGCATCAGGAGAAATCATGAATTAATGGACAAAGCATGTTGAGATGGATTGTTATTATGTAAGAGCAAGGAAATATTAAGGAGAAATCACAAACACATGGACAAGAAACTAACTAGGTAAATGCATGAAAATATTTTGCAGATATCAGTAAACATTTTCACGTAACTATTTTATTTTATTCTACGTCAAGTTACGTGACACAATAGGATATTGAAAAATATTGCAATTCTGCTAAGATTTTGATTGAGACATTGTGGATGGCTCACAATTTCTGATGCACATCATGGTCCAAAAATTTAAAAAAAAAAAAAAAAGCAATTTTAGGTCAAGGGGCTTAATTATAAACATGGATAATTTTCTCTTTCACAGAATAAAAATAATTACTTATAAAGGAAAAAGGAAGAAGAAAAATCAATTGTAGAAATTGAAGAATTATTACCCCATTGGGCCTTGGGCAAAGATGTGCTGGAATTGTAACATCTCTCACTCCATCAACTTTCATTCCGCAAATTGCTTTATCAAATCCTACTTGAGATAATGAGAATAATCAGCCGCACAATCAAGGAAGCTAATTCTTTCATATAATAAGATTTTTTTTTCCTTAAATTAAATTGTTAATGTTATATAGTAGTGAATGCTGGGCTCTAACGGGACAGCAAGAGCATAAAGTTGGAGTAGCAGAGATGAGAATGTTACGATGGATGTGCGGACATACACGTAAAGATAAAATTCAAAATGAGCACATACGTGAAAAAGTGAGGGTGGCACCTATTGAGGAAAAAATGGTAGAAAATCGGTTGAGATGGTTTGGGCATGTACAAAGAAGACCAAGGGAGGCACCAGTGAGAAGAGTGGAATATATAACTTTGAGTCCGATTAAGAGAGGTAGAGGAAGGCCTAAGAGGACACTCTTGGAAGTTGTTGAACGTGATCTCTTAATTAATAATATTTTTAAAAGCTTAATAAATGATAGAGCACAATGGCGTCTTGCAATCCATATAGCCAACCCCACCTAGTGGGATAAAGGCTTGTTGTTGTTGTTTGTTGTTGTTTGTAAATTGTTATTTTTATTGTTAGACTGATCAGGTTAAATCAATAGTCTTATGTTATGGAGAAGTTAATTTTATATATCAATTAAATGGAAAAAGGAGTATGTCAATTAATGTCAAAGAAATCATTAATAGTTGTTTAACAAAACACATCATAAATAATTTAACCAAAATACAAAGAAACTTGGTCTTATTAAGTTGTGGCCACAACATAAACAGCAGCAATCAAATTCATATTTTTACCATTTTGTCCTTGACCCAAAATCAGTTCCAAAATGCCCCATCCACTTCCAGGCTCATCTTTCTTACTGAGAGGTATATACTTGATTCTTACCTATAATTGAAAATAAACATTATTATTCAATTGAAAATTAGGGGGAAAAAAACTATATCAGTAGAACTTCACATTAATTTATGTCCATGGACAGAGTTAAAAAAAAAAAATTGATGGATAACAATATATAGCAACTAAAAAAGAGGAAAAAAATGAACATCACCTTATCCCCAGTTCTGGCCACTTGATTACCTAGGCCGTTTATCAAATCATGGGGGTCTGCGTATATAAGTTAACCAAGAATAAGTCACAAGTTATGTCTTTACCATTCCCATAATCACTAATATGAATATAGTTTTAGTTTTATTTAACAGTTAAAACCCATCATTTGGCGTACAGTTTGACCTCCCAAACAAATGGAAGTCCAAGAACAAATCTAATCACATTTTAAATTATTCATTTTCCTAAGTTCTTGAAGGCCTAAGGGAATGTACAATCATTTTGGCGGGCATAAGGCAATATAATGGCCTAAATGGCCTTGGCAAAAAGGACAAACTCCAAAAAATTATGTCAAAGTTGTAACATGAAACAAAAGATCGCCTGATGAAATATAAGAATTAATATATTTTGAAGAAGCTTGCTATAAGAGGAAATTTATCTTAATTTTATATTTTATTGCTTTTTGTTTTTTACTCTATTTAGCAAGTGGGTTATTTTATCACTTCATGTATTAAATGAGCTGCAAGTAGATATTTCCTTATAGGGAAGGAAACCTCAAGCTTATATTTTATTTTGTTTTATGTTTCTTTCATAAGAAGGAAACCTCAATTGTGGCTTGTATAAAAAGCCACCATGCAGCACATGTAAAGGAGTTCTTAGATTGAATGAATGAATTTCTGAAGTTATTGTGAATGCTCTCTTTCTCAACTCTACGTCTCTCTCCCTTTGCTCCCCCTCCCTATCAGTTACGCATCTCTCTTCTCTCCCTCTGTTCCTGTCTCCTCTTTCACACTCTCTTTTTGTTTCTTCTCTCACTCCTCCCTCTGTTCAGATCTGTAATAGTGTGTGTGTGTTGCATCAACGCCTAAAACAGTAATAATCATTAATCACAAATTATTAAATTGAGGAGAAATGGAATAAATACCTCCTTGAGTACGTCCTTTATCAAATGACGCTAGACACCTGTTTGGCCTATACAAACGACAATGAAAGTTGTATTCTAAATAGAAAATTGTACCCGAAGAGAAAACAACTTATGCATAGCTGAATAAACATAATAATTATTTCATCATAAAAAGTGTTTGCATAAAATGTACTTTGATGCATAATCTAGTCATACCAATACACACACATGATCTAATCAGAAAGGTTTGCACTATATATAAAATGATCATAAGTTCAAATGAAATTTTCAAACTAAATAATTATCAGATCTACCAGCACCAAACTTGCAGAGATGTGAATGTAGTCACTCTTTAGTTAGTGGGACCTTGACTGAGTTAACACATCAACTCAGCATTCAAATAGTGCTAGAACAGACTCAGAAGATAAAGAAGAGGGGAAATAACAGTTGATTCCCAAAAGCACAATTTAATGAATGTTAGGTCCTTGGAAAAATTTACTAAACGATGGTTGCAAATGAAAATATTAGTTGGAAATTGAAAGTTACATTTGAAATTTAAATGATTGATTTGCAACCTGTACAACTGAATTTGAAATTCAAAAAGTTTTCTTGGGATCTGACTATCCTTCCCCTAAACAAAACAGCAGTAAAGAGGCTCAAAGCCCAAAAAACAACAAACAAAAAGACAGAAACCAGAAAAAAAAAAAAAAGTACAGAGACTTGAACCAACCCTAGGGAATCAAAAGCTGTCTGCCAGACAAATCAGTCTGACCTTCTCCGACATTTCATGCCACGCATAAAAACCCATACTCAGATCCAAGCTATACTCAACCAAAGTGTCCGCGCATTGATTACCTTCACAAGGCACATAGGTAATCCTTGTATTCCAATCCTCTCTCCTCCAGTCCTTAACGTTCACCTGCAGTCTGACTCTACTCTCATTGCTGTCCAAGCCTTCAATTTGTCTCAACACACCTAGAGAATCAACTTCTACCACCACCCTTCTGAATCCAGCTTCCCAACAAAGCTTCAATCCTTCCAACATGCCCCAAGGTTCAGCTTGAGCAGCACAGCAGCTACCCAAATTCTTCAAAAAACCCAGTAGCCACATACCCTTCCAGTCTCATATGATACCACATGACCACATCTCCTACCAAGGGCTCACAGCCCCTACAAACTCCATCTGTGTTGACCTTCACCCTTCCCTTCTCAGGGGAGACCAGCAAACGAGCTCAACAATTCTTGTCTGCTGCACAGAGGAGTTAGCTTCAAATCTGACTCTGCACATATTATGACTAGAACTGAGGATCAGCCAACAAACGTCCTCCACCCTTCTCTCACTTTCCTCCTTTCTAAAGATCCTCCTATTCCTTTCTTTCCAAATAATCCAGCAAGCCACACCAAAGATGACTCTCCACTCAATCCTTTCAACCTTCACTCTACTAAGCTTCAGGTTAGATCTAGCCCAGCTCTTCAGATCCTCACCAAAAAAATTACTCAGCAATTCTGGAGAAAATAGGTAACTCCAAATGACAGAGGCCTTGCTGCAATTCCTCAACATGTGTATCACAGATTCTGGCTCCCCACAAAAGCCACAGCCCTGAGCCACACCCAACCTACGACATTTGTATGAAATCTATTGTGAATAGCAAGCCAAAAGAATCACTAGATTCTCTCAATTCCGGTCATTTCCAAGTCAAATTCCATGCCTTACTAGCTTGCCCCAGTTTATCTCTAAACAACAACTTATATCAGCATCCTCCTCCTCATCAGGAGGTAGCAGCGCATGAAGTCCCCTTTTAACATTCTCAGGTAATACATTCTCCAGAATCTCCCACTTCCATTCACCCTCGTCATTAACTGCTTCAGCAACCTTCCAATATCAGTGAGAATTGGAGAATTTCATATTTATATCTCTCTATTTCCTTTCTCTCTTTTTTCCCCTCTCTTTCTCTCTCTTTCCAATCTAAATTCTATAACATTGCAAATCGAAAGTTACATTTAAAATTTAAATGATTCATTTGACCCATACTGCTGAATTTGCAATTGTTTGAAATGACATCTACCACTTATTTAAAAAAAAAAAAAATTCTTGGATCTAACTGTCATTCCCCTGAAAAAAAAAAAAAAAAATACAGCATGGAGAGAAACAAATATTTACTTGATCATAAGAAAAATTCTATCTATATCTGAATAATGATATATATATATAATCGACTCTAACGTCATGGCCTTTTCCTTCTGCTCTTAAATCTCATGCTGTTTAACAACTCAACTGAGTGTTGATATACTGGATTGTACTGAAGAAATTGACTATTTTTATCGTTGGAAAGGAAACTTTAACTTAGTAAACTTTAAAACCTGGACAGATATCTGTTTACTGCAAATCCTAAAAAGAGAATGAACACACCTCATGCCGTGCTTCAATCCCTGGCTGTGTATGCTTTCTTGCAAATGGATTCAACTCTACGGCGATGGAAAAGAAAGAGAGGCACGACAACGGAACAACTCAGCCCATCATTTCGTTTGCATTCCAAATATTTGATCCAAACTCAGCTGTGAATGGAAAACAGAATTCGAAAATTTGAAAAATATATGTACCTGGGATGAAGACGGGGGAGCCGTCGACGGTGACTGGAGGTGCACTAGACGGCGGCGGGAACGACCAAGAGGAAAAGAAACGACGAACCAGAGAGCCGCGCCCTCACTAGACGTACTGGCGAACAGGAGGAAGCCAATACAGAGAACAGGCAGGGTTTGTGGGCGCACGGGAATGAGGCTAAATAATAAATTAAATAAATAAATAATCGTCACTCGTGAGAAAATTCAATTCAGGTGCCTGCATTTTTGGCTAAGGTCTAAAGACGCTCAGAATAAGGACTGATGATTTTTACATTCTGTAACTCATAAATTTGTTCTCAACCTCAAAAACATCCCTTATGCTTTGATTTGTACAATAGTAGGTTTCTGATTTGTTAAAAATCATTCAGTTAAAGGTAAGACTAATATACTCAACTTTATTGAAAAATTATTCTTCAATTTTATATACTTTTAATTATATATTTATGACTAAAATATATAAAACTTTTTATGAATTTTGAAGCACATAAGCTTAATTCCACTGCTATATAAATTAAGAAAAATGATAATAAAATTTCTTTGAAATATATAAATGATAATTTGATCCATCAAAATGTTATAATTTTCTTGAATTTTTTTAGGTATCTTTCTGTCATTAATAAATTTATATAAATTACTAAATTATTTTTTTAAATAAATGATTTATAAGTTTTATTTAAATACTCACAACTTTCCTTCTTATATTCGTAACAATGCAACAGTAAATTACAACTTCACATGTTAAATTACTTATTTATTATTCTATTGTTGCGAATATAAGAAGGAAAATTATGAATATTTAAACAAAACTTGTGACTCATTTATTTTCAACAAAGGCAATTTGGTAATTTACATAAATTTATTAATGACAGAAAGTCTCTAAAGATTTCAGGAAAATTATAACATTTTAAAAAACCAACTTATCAATTATATATTTTAGAGAGATTTTGTTGTCATTTTTTCTATAAATTATTACATACTTTTTAATATGACATGATAACTTCTATTAATAAAATAATAAAAAAATGTGATAAAAAATAAAAGGTTAAGAAGACACATATTTTAGCTATTTTTTATTTCTTATTAATATTTTTAAATGAACTTAAACTTTCTAAATCCAAACCACATTTTTAATATTATGTTTTGTTTTAAAATTTACTTTCACAAATCTTGATTGTATACTACACAATTTTTCTCCTATGCACCTATGAAAAGATTTGTACCATACACATTTAATCAAGACAATTTATATTTTCTCCAAGTTGCAGGAGAGGCGAAGGAGGCACGGCGCAGAGAAGGAAGCCGCGTCCTAACGAGCATACGTTGAGCAGGTTGATGTCTTCATGAAATTTTTTGGCCGGATATGTTGATAGAACTAATGTATTAATTTTAGGGAGAATTACAGTTAGATTCCACATAAAAAAATTAATTATTATAAAGTTTATTGACAATTAAACTAAACTATATTAATAACAGGTCCTCCCTTAATTTTATTTTATTTGAGGTATATATTTATATTAGGAAAAAGTTATAATAGCCATAAAATTAAATAAATAAATAAATAAATCCAACCCTTGACAGTCGAACACTCCCCATCGTTGCCACCTTCCACAAAGCTCCGCCGCCGTCAATGGCTCCATTAACAATTGATCAATGGAATCTGGCAAAATAGAAAAATCATTACCAGTGAAGAAGAAGAACCCATAAACTATTAACATAACTGATATTTACATATATATGGGGAAAAATGAAACAAAGAACGACCACCAAAAGCAAAGACGATGAAGACGCAGGAACTACTGCACCATGAAACCTTTGTCGAAGACAACGATAAAATCCTAGAACCTACGGCGTTGAACGTTGAACCAGAAATTGCTCGCTTGCTCTAGAAACAGCCTCCACTGAAACCAAACATTTTCAAAAGAAGAAACCTTTTGAGAGAATTACTAGAGCTAGCTTCCACTAATTAACACAGAATGGAGGAAAGTGTAGTAGTGCTTACTTTTACTGCAAATTTTCGCATCGAACTCATTATATTTCGCAAAGATCTATGTGATTGACCAACTTCCAGCTGCAGTTCCGGCCACCTCACATCGTGAAAATTATCTTCTGGCTTCAGAATAAAGCTTGTCGCCCAAAACATTTAAGCAAAAGTCCTTCTTGAGACTTTTTATAAGCCGTCGCCTAAAACGGTGAACTGTTGTGCTTTTAATCTCATTTTGTAGGTAGCTCTAGAGTTAGGATTGAGCATGTAGTTCTTGATTTCTTCTCTCTATTCTGCAGCCGCTTCCTGATCCTAATTTACTGAGAATACTGGCATAGCTCTGACCTGCATCGAGGGGCGTTCGCTCTTTTGAACGACAATGATCTTGTGTTCTTCGAAGAACCAAATTCCTGAGGCAATCTGAGCCAAACTCGTTGGCCTCCCATTTGGTTTCTCTGGGTACGTGCGTAAATTCTACATATTTCGTCGATCTCTTGAATAATTTGGATGGTAGCAGCGAAGTAGTGTACCAATGCCAAGCTACTGCACTTGTATCCACGCTTCGTTGATGCAGCACCAGTTGAGGATCCCTTTCTATCTCAACTTCTTCACATCATCAAATGATCTACTGGCTTCAGAATCTTGCCGAGAGACCTCAATATAGCCCATCCAACAGCTGACACACTATTTTGCTGCAGTTTCATTTGCTTATGGCGCCTCGACAATCTTCCAGATTCCCAGTCAGAAACTCCGGGAAAAGTCGTGACTTAGGGATTGAAGGAAATTTTTGAATGTCTACAAGGAGACAATTGTCATCTTCAATGATCGATATTAGGTCATTTAAAAGGGGGGGGGGGGGGGGAAGCATTCCTTTCACCACATGCAGGCCATATATGTTCTTTTGTCCTCACTTTTGTCCTTGTCGTAGGATGAAGTTCATAGAAGTAAACGAATTTCATTGTTTAAATTTCGCAGACGGCAGAGATCCGAAGCAAAGGCTGATAACGAAGATGCCCCTATCGTCCTATTCGAGACAGCTGCACATATATCTTTCAGAACTCACATGATCTGATCTTTTGTCCCTCGGAAGCATCAGTAGCACTATATTTCATGTTTAAAATATATATAAATAATCTTCGAACCAGCTGGATGAAGCATGCTCTCTTGCTATTATATGAACTTTTATATTTTATATTAATATTTAAAATTAATTTTTTCAAGGTGCTGGTCCCTAAGTTTTGAATTAATGGACACAACGTTGTTAAAAAATATATGAGGCGACTAGGTGGAATAACTAATGAGTTGGCAACACGATGGATGTGAGAGCATTTTCTTCTTCCTTGTTCAATTTTCATCCTCTTCCCTCCGCAAATCACTCATGACACTATGCCATAGGAAGTCTTTGTTAAAGATTAATCTATCCGGTCTTTATTTTAAGCTCCCTCTAACTATCTAATAGGAATCCAATGATATACATACCTTACTTCCTTATTTGCGTTAGAAAGATTACTCCAACTGTGCCATGGAAAGTATTTGATAAAAAAATTACTTATTTTTGGTTTTCATTATAAGGTTCCTCCAACTATCTCACCAAAACCAAGCAATCTTTATTAAATATTACTCCCTTTCTTGTAATATTATAAGGCATCTCTAACATACCCACCTCTAGCCATAGTTAAATTATTCAATTTGTCTAAAAAATAGAATAAATATATAATTTTATCCTCATTTAAATGAAAATTTTTTAAATTTGCATTACATTCTCTCAAACAGCTAATGAGTTTACATAGAGGTAATATTAAAAAAAACTTAATTAATACCTAATAATGTACCCATATTAAAGACAAAAATTGCTTCCAAAATTAAAGGTGTAGTTTTTTTTTTAAACCAATAAAAATGGAGTTATTTTTTACCTTTGTTAGCGCAGGGAACGAGACATTCAATACATGGTTGGGTACAGGCTACAGCTTTCCTACAAACTGTTTGGTATTTATTTTTTAAAATATGTTTACATCAATTTAATTATATTTTACATGTATTCATTGCTCTCCGAAGTTAAATATATCGCTTTCTATCTAGTGCCACTCATTTATATTATTTTTATTCATAATTTTTATAATTCATATAAATGCATCTTGCTGATTGTAATGTTTTTAGCGGTATTGCAAGAGTTGCCACCAAAAGTCTTGTCGCTAATAATTTTTGGTAGCAACAAATATAGTCGTTATCAAAAGTATACTTTGTTGCCATCATCAAAAGTTTTTTGCTACTAAAAGTTAACTTTTGGTGGCGTAATTGTCGCCACTAAAGGTATACTTTTGGCGACGACTATATTTGTCGCCACCAAAAACTATTAGCGATAAGACTTTTGATGGCAAAAAGTTATCACTAAAACCCTTTGGTGACAACAGTTGCTGCCAAAAGTTAATCTTTTTTAAAAGTAAAAAAGCTATCTCATGCCACGTCAGCCCTCCTTGTGCCACATCACCTGCCACGTGTGCGCCACGTCATGCCACGTCATTTGACAACTTGTGCCAAGTCACACCACGTTGCCACCACGTCACGCCACGTGCCATGTCACATATTCATTGTAAAATATGCCTAAGTCAGGATTTGAGCACATGACCTCTACCTCCCAAGGCTTAAGTCCTCCTTTGTTGCTAGTTGAGCTGAAATACACCTACAATTATTATATGTGAAATTAAATATATATTATTTAACTACATACACATATATCAAATAATATATTATTAAAAATATATAGATATATAGTTTATTTTATTTTCATTTATTAATATGTTAAAATAATTTCTATGAGTATATATATACTCCCTCCGTTAAAAAATGTAATGCATTTTTAGTCTTTCGAGGTATAATCATTACATTTTTTTAAAAGTGCCCCTATTGATGAATAATTTTATATTTATTATAGGGTGGCTAAGAGAGGTAAATATAAAAAAATAGGGTTATTTTGAAAGTAGGTAACTATTTTATTAGGAAGTAAAATTTGATTAAAAATACCTTATATTTTTGAATGGAGGGAGTATATATATACATATTATATTTTTTTAATAAAATATTATTTTGTTAGGAAAAATGAACTTAAAATGAAATAATTTTTAAATATTAAATAATTTTCTTATAAACATTTTTACCAATTTTTAAATTTAATTTTTATTTTTTAATTAAAATAATTAAGTATATAATTTAGTTATAAGCATGTATTATATTAGTTTACTTTAAATATCTTTTATATTTTTTCATATTTTTCTCAAAAGTTAATAAATAAAGTATTAAACTTTTATCTTCTCCCAAGTTAAATGCTTCCCTTTCTTTTATTAAAAATAAATTTTATCTATAATTTTTTAATTATCTTAAAAATATGTTAATAAAAAATTTATTGTAATCATATAAATTTTTTTGCTAGTCATTTTGAACAATTATTTTTTATTATCTTTGAGATAGAAAATGGGTGGACATGTGATAAACTAAAAGTAGATGCTAAACAAAAAAACTCCAAATTAAAAATCTAAGTGAATATTTCATAATCAAAATAGAAGAAATCATGTCTTGACTCATTCTAAATTAGTTTAGACTTTCATTAAAGTCTCTTTAACAGAGTCAATCTAAAGTTAATAGCGAATACTTACCAATAACTTTACAATTTAAAATAAATAAATTTTAATAAGTTTATATATAATTTCATTCATAATTCACAATATCGTCAAGTATTCTCTACATAATTTATTTGTTGCTTATTTTAAATAATCATCAAATATGGAGCATATTATTTAAATACTCATGTGGTAGTGAAAAATAGAGCTCAGTAAACAAAGTAGATACCATTTGTATACCAAATCAAGTATCAAGTGCGAAATGTATCAAGTAGTCTATAGTATCATTTGTATCTTATAACATCTATAAATTAAAACCTTAACATTCTAATGTTTATGTATAACTTTACCATTCCAATGTTATTTATTTTCATTTTAAATATAAATACCTTTAGTGGCAACAAATTTTGCCACTAAAAGTATTAATAAAATATTTTTTTAGTTTTTTAATTATTTTTTATGAAAATACTTTTGACAGTGACAAACTGTGGTTATGAAAAGTAATTACATAAATTATTTTTTATGAAAATAATTTTGGTGGCGACAAACCTAGTTACATAAATTATTTTTAATATTTTAATTTTTTTTATAAAAATACAATCGTCGCTGCTAAAAACAATTACATAAATTATTTTAATTATTTTTTATAAAAATATTTTTGGTGGCGACCATTTGTTGCTGCTAAACCAATTACATAAATTATTTTTAATTTTTTAATTATTTTTTATAAAAATACTTTTGGAAGCGACGATTTGTCGCCACTAAAAGTAATTACATAAATTATTTTTTTATGAAAATACTTTTGACAGTGACATTTAAACAATTATATAAATTATTTTTAATTTTTAATTATCTTTATAAAAATACTTTTGACGGAGATAAAAAGTAACGCTGCTAAAAGTAGACCTTTGGCGGTGACTATTTTTGTCGTTGCTAAAAGTTGCCACGAAAAGCCTTTTTTTTTGTAGTCTTATTATCTGTAGAGTAATTTGACTCTTAAATTGTAAGTCTAGAAGTATTTGAAATCCAAAACTCATTTTTTATGCAATATAATGTTCCTTCTTAATTTTTGAAAATGGTACATTATAGCTGCTAACATTAACAAAATTTAACTTTAATCATTAGTTGATCAAAAAATGATCTCAAAAATCATTGAAAATGACCAATTTTTTTTATCCTTTTTGTAATTTTTAAGTTCTTGTTTGTAAATTTTGTCTCATATTACGTAATTTTCTTATTTTTTTATCATTTTCTAGCCATGGTCAAATTTAACTTTTTAACAGTAGGACTACTTTATACAATTTTCAAAAATTAAAAAAAATTATTATATAGAAAATAATTTTTAAATTTTAGATACTTCTAAACCTATAATTTAAGAATGAAATTGCTCCTTAATCCTTGTTTAAACCTAATGCCATGCAAATTTTATTGCATAATATTTGTAATCCATCCTTTGAAGATCCGTAATGCTTTAAAAGGTGTGCAATAGATAGACATACAAGACGTAGATCAAAGGCGGTCAAAGGCATGGGGATATTTTTTTCATTTTAATTTTTCCTTTTTTAAGATATCATTTTAAGATGTTGGTAAAAAAAAAAAATATTATTTTAAGATATTTTTCAATTCGTGCACTTTTTAAGATATTTTAATGTCCCAAAGAGATAATTTTATCCCACTACAACCTAACAAATTTCAAAATATCATGAAAGTTCCTTGGGTCTTTAATTGATCTCTTGATAAAATTTTAAACTAACAAATTTGCAGCTTACATTCTGAAATTTGCATGACTCCTTCTATTTTAATTTGTAACTTGGTTTCCCAATTTAATTTAAGAACACAATTTAAAAAAAACACACAATTTTAAACATTGAATTATTTATAAGATTATTTATTTAAATCTATGAACTAGCAACTTACTCTCTCATGTTTGCAACTTAATCTACTATGATTTGCAATTTTACATCCCAATTTTATTTATGAACATAATCTCAATATTTATTTTTCTCATGAGAATTTACTTGTTTAATTCCAAGAATTTGCAATTTACTCTATTTAATTTGCATTTCCACTTACCTTAGTTTGTAGCTTGAGTTCCAAATTTTATTTAGGGATTGAATCAGAATATTAGTTGGTAACGGTAGTTTTGTTTGCCCTTGGTGCATCATAGTTAAAACATAGCTAACTTGGTATTCGTGAACATCACACTCATGCTTGTTTCGTGGTTTTAAGCCACTTTTGATTGATTATTTAATTACCCTTGTGGATTATATGTTTATACTTGTTTCGTGGCTTCAAGCTACACTTGTTTTATGGCATCTAGTGTAATATCTCAAAACTTAAGCTAAGTGTTTAAGAATAAATTAGAAATTAATTTTTAATTAATGTCGGGTTAAAGTTAGGTGCTTCTTTTGGCCTTGACCGCTCACGGATGGACCTCATTGGAAATCGTTGTGGCTTCTGTTTACCGCTACTCGTGGTTAGAACCTTCAATAATCTTAATTGCCCTTAGTTGAAAAACAGATGCAGTAACTCATTTAAGTGAGTTCAACCATGGACAAATGAAATTTTAATGTACACAACCATCTGTGGTCAAACTGGCAGAATTGCATTTTAAATAGTTGAAAAATGTAGAAAACAAGAAAGAAAAGAGCAAGAACGAGAGACGGCCATTAGGACTGTGCTAGGGTAAGGATTTTCAGCCAATTGAGAGTGATTTGTAATTAGAAATCACTTGGGGTAAGTTTCTAATCTCTTTTCCATTTTAGCTAGTTTTCAATTAGGGTTTCAAATTTCCTCTCCTCTTGATTTTGAATTTCTGGTTCTTGTCTTAGGGGACGTTTTGTTTGTGATAGATTGATGAAATGGAGTTAATGAGAGTTTATAATTGTTACTAGAACAATTGGTGTGAATTATTTAAGATTTATGTCCGATTTTTAGGTGTTTAAGCACACCCTAGATATGAATAGGTAAATGTGCATATTAACTTAGAAGATAATGATTTTAGTTAGATTCATAAGGGTCTAATAAAGCTAATGGGACCATTAGATTGCAAGGTTATATAGTAAAATTAATTTTTGCAATTTTTTAGTTAAATGGGTGATTAGGAAAATTGTGTTTATGATAGACATTGATTTTGAGTTGTTTAATTGTATACTAAATCTCTTGAGATCTTGGAACATCTAATTTGGGAGGTTAGAATTGGACGGGTGCTTCTTTTGAGTGACTTTAGAGGTGGATCTAACCGGGAACCTAAAAGTGTTCTTGGTATTTAAAATTTATGAAATCGCATGTTAAGTATGAAAATGCCATATTATGCTTTTAGAAAATGTGTAAAGTGAATATGAATTGAATTGTTGAAAGTTGTAGATAAATTGAGTAGATTATGTTATATTGTGAATTATGAGGATGATTGGGATTTATTGAGAACTATGCCTATGTTATTTTTGTAATTGAGTACAATGACTGAAAGTATGAACATGTGGGCAAGTGATAATTGTAATGATCTTAAAATTTAAAAAAAATTAAAAAAATATTATTATCACCCAATTTATATTTTATTTAAATTTATTTTATAGCAAATGGAAAAGGGCGAATTAGTGGAAATTATATTAATAGCTTACTTGAAGGTCTAAAGTTTAAATATATTTTTTTCAGAGATATTAATTTTATTTAGTTTAAAATTTTGGAAAATTTACCAAAGTGCCTGTGTCTTTTATGTTATTAGAGAAAATGTTGGGCTTTCGTTTGTAATTTTTGCAATTTCTTAAAGTTCAAATTTATATTTCTTTTATTTTTCTTTCTCCTTCTTCAAAAATTCCAGAAACCAGAGAGATCGCCTCTTCTCTCCCTCTGTTCTTTCGGCATTCATCCTTGCCGCCGCCGGTGTGAGTGTGAGTTAGAGAGAAAGTCGAGAGTCTTAGTCCTTTGTTCTTCTCCATCCATTTCCTTTCTGTGTTTCTGAAGTGTGTGAGGGAGGAGCTAGGCTGTTTAGTCCATCACTGATGTCAATGTTCGCTATGGATCTGCTACTGTCAAGACCCGAAGTTGCGAGTTCGTCTACTCCCCTGCTCCTCCATTGGTCTTCTTTTCATGTAATGGTGATGCCTGAATCTCTCCCCTATTTTCTTGTTACTAAATCCTCCTTTCCCAATTTTTTCTTTGATCTGTTACCGATGCTCGAGTGAGAGAGGAACCAAAATTCTTGATCTCTTTCGCCTTCTCCTTCCTTCCTCGATTGCCTTCAACATTGCGAATGTGGTTGTGAGCTGGAACGCCGTCCGCCGCTACTGGAGATCTAATACATGATTTCTCTTACTCCTCTATTTCGCGATGCTATCTGAGCTCTGTTCAGCTGGCTGTTGTGCATGCATGAGGATCTCTTTCTTCCTCTTCCTTGTTCGAACAGCAGTGTATCCTTTTACTTTTTGATATTATTGATCAAAGGTATGGATTTTCAAATCTCTTTCTTCCTCTTCGGTTCTGTATGTGTGTATGTGTTAGAGAAACCATTAGCTTTGAACTCTCTTTCTTGATGGTCTTGTGTGATTAAGTGCGTGAGTTTATGATGGAAGCCACAAGAATTTCCTTTCCCTCTGTTACTACTGCATGTGACCATTTATGTTGGACATGGGTTTTTAGGAGAAGACTTGTTAAGGTCTATATGTGGCTTAGATAGAGAATTAAGGAAAAGCAAGAAGCTTGTTATATTAATTTTTCTCTTGCACGTACAGTGTTTGATAGAATGATTGAGTGAAAATTTTTATATAAATGAGTGCTTAAACTTTACCAAATTAATCCTAGTTAAATTTTAATGTTTAGGTCACTTGGTTATATATATATATATATATGAATATGTTAATATGTGTTTTGTAATATGTTTATGTGACTAGGATGGTAGATTCTCCTTTATTGCTTGTTCTGATCTTGCACATGCCTGAGCTATGAGAGATTTGAATAAAATGAAGATGGTTTGGCCTAATGGTGTATAGATTAGAGTTTGAACATGTTAGGTGAAATTTTGAAATTGTTAGAGTAGTTTGGGTCTTGAAGCACAAAGGAACAAGAAAGAAATTTGTTATACTTGACGACATTTATGATATTGAATTAAAGGTGTCATAAGATCGGTTGTGGTTGTGTAAGGTAAGAAATTGTACTGTTTTAAATAATGTGTACTTTATGAAGAATTATCGAAGAGCTTTAAGGATAAATTATTTATCAATTACTAAAGGAAGTAGGCATGGTTGAGGTAAACATGTCATTATAGGTGGGAGAAAGGAATAGAAAGAATATAATTCTAAATATGGATAGTAGATTAAGGACAAATAAGGATTGAGGACTTTAAAATTGTTCTAGATTACATATTGGGTTCACGAATGTTAGTTATAAATATATGAATTGGAGTTCTTATTAAAGAAAGTTGTTTATTCTTCTGGTCTAGGTAATAACGTAGCTAAAGGGAAATGGAGAGGTATTTAAAAAAGCACATATTATTAATTTGGGAGTTATCAGGTAAGTGGATAGCGTCCCAACTAATTTATCAATTAATTTTTCTTATTAAAATTTATTTTTTTACATTGATTATTTTAATAATAATTATGTTAATTAGTGGATACTTTGTTAGTTAAATTTCTTCATTTTTAAGTTTTAAGATGATGGTGAAAAATGATTCATCATAGCATATGAATGTTTTACCCGTATGAGATATCCTTTTAGGATTAATAAAATTTCTTTTCATTAGCATTGGCAATTTTTGATTTTTCAATAAATGCAAGTATGAGCATTGGATATGAAATTTGATTCTGGCAAGTTTTAATGCTTAAAAGTATTCATGCGAGTTTGATTTTGAGAATGAGAACTGTATCTTGAAAGTAATGATTTTCTTGCATGTTTGAAAATGATTTTAAAAAGGGATTTTATACAGAACACTGGTTGCTAACGGTAGTTCCGTTAGCCCTTGGCACGCCATGGTACACCTAGCTAGCAGGGTGTTTATAAGAGGTGCTAGCCCCGTGCGATAGCCAACGCATGTGGAACAGTGGGATGGTTATTCGTAAGTATCGTACTCACATTTGTTTCGTGGCTTCAAGCCGCATTTGGTTAGCATTACCTTCGTGGACTGTGTGTCCACATTTGTTTCGTGGCTTCAGCTGCGTTTGGTTGCTTACCCTCATGGATTGTGTGTCCACATTTGTCTTCGTGGCAAGAGCCACGTTTAGTTATTTACCCTCGTGGACTTTGTGTCTACGTTTGTTAATTGTTCTGATAAGTCCCTATAATATGAATTTGATTATTTGATGATTTTACATTCCATTGGTTTTTAATTAGTGAATTATTTATAATTATCTATTTTATTTATTTACTTTCTTGCAATCAAGTGATAATAATACTTGATATGATATTTTAATAGTTCAAGATTTTATTTAAACTTTATAAAATTCTTTTATTTTCAAAGTTTATTAAATTTTTATGAAAATCATTGCCTCTTTGAATTGCATAATTATTTCAAACTTTCCTTTTATTCATGTTCAATTATTTATTGTTGGGACGTTATTCATTGGAAAAGATATTTTGGTCTCAGATGGTATAGTTGAACTCGTGACTCGAGATATCCATTGAGGAGTTTTATTGCTAAATTGAAGTAGAAGAATTATTTTAGTCGAATCTTAATTTGATGAAAAATTGAACTTTATACCTACATTGGTGTCTGGCCTTAGGTGCTACACGTAGACTACAGGTAAGATCCTCACATTTTTTAAAATTAAATATCTTATTTAATATTGTAACAATTTCTAATTACTCTTTTGTCTGTTTGACGTATTAATTTCAATGTTTTTTCGATCACGGCTTAAGGGATATGAGTTTTGGGCTCATATCCCGTGTTGGTCATACCTAATTTTTGGGGTGTGACAATAATATATTATTATGCATGGTTGAGTTTGAGAACATTGATGGCATGATTGTAAAAGCGAAATGGGTAGGAGTTCATCTTAGATGGGAGATTGTTGCACTATAAGTCTGTGCAATGGACAATACTTAGATAACTCCAAATGCTGGATAGCTATGGTACCGACTCCAATAGGAGTTTGGTGTGGTTCTAGATTAGCTAATGAAACTCACTTTGGGAGTATGTATGTGTTTTTAGGAATAACTATGACACCTTATAGGAATTCAATTAACAAGGGAGTTTAATATCATGGATTTTTTTAAACCGTCATATTTTAGGCATATAATATTTCATTTTTTTATTAGTGTATTTTGATAATTATTTTGGATATTTAAATATTTTTGTCCTTATTTGCGTTGAATTCAATCTTTTGATCCTTTAATATCATTCCCCCTAATTTAAACCATTTAACTCATTTTCTTTAGGAAGTTCACATCACACTTATGATGATGAAGATAGGAGGACTTCATTGATGATAAAACTTGTAAATACCTCTATACATGAAATTCTAGGCTTTAATCATGTCATGATATTGGTATTCTCTCTTCACCTAACTCACTAAAAATTTTTTATCAAATGAAAAGGGAAAAATGACACAAAATTAAATTAAGCCCAAAGCTATATCAAAATTCCTCATGACCCATGAACTCCCTGATCAACATCGCACGTACTTGCCTATGAAAAGCATCTCCATAAGTTCTTATTAGTTATTACGAGTCAACATACTACCAGCAATAATGGTCTATATTCAATAATTAATGTCATCGTTCTTTGGGAGCCGCTCTCGATAATGCCAAACTTATTATTATTTTTTAAGCATTGCTGATAGATTTTTTTTTTTTTTGCCATAACATTGCTGTTGGATTTAAAAATTTTAATTTCTTTAAATTAAATGATTCCGTAATCATAAATAATCTAATGGTTGGCAAAAAAAGAAAAAGAATAATCTAATGGAAGCCTTTTGTTTTATATATGACTAGATGCATATGCATGTTCTTACTATGTAAAATAATTCAACTTGATTTATCTTTATTTATTTATTATTTTCACCTTCCATCATCATTAAGATTTAAATACCATGAAATGATTTGTTTTGGCTTGTTGACTGACTTGATTTTCAGTTTCCAATCCTCTCCAAGACACTGTTCTTCATTAGATTGTTATCAGATGTCCCCAAACGGACCATAAGAGATTATATTCGTTTTGCTTTGTGAATAAGCATCTTCATCGTGGGAAACTATTCTTGATCTTGCCAACGTATCGTCTTTGGTGAAAAAGGTATTCTCATTCTCCTTTAGGATTAAAATTGTCTGCTTAAAGAGATATACAATGCTATATTTTTCCTTCACAATTTTGTATATTCAACTGATTTAAATCTCGAGTAGTGTTGCTCATTTTAACAATATTTGAAGGAAGAGGAAGATGCAAGGAGGTTGAAAACTAATATCAATACTGATCTATAGTGTCTTTCTTATGTTTAAGAAAATATTATTGTCTAGAATGAGATGAAATCTCATTCTATCCCTTTTGTCATTCTCTCTTATGGATCGTTTAGATCACATTTTAGTGGTTGATATTTCATTATTTATCTTTTAAATTTTTACATCTCAATTATTTTTTTTTAAAAAATAGTAAATCTGAAATCGTTTTAATTTGATCGGAGCATTCTAGATTGAGAAAACAAATAGGAAGAGAAGAAAGAAAAGAAAATGTATATTAATATATATATATACATATATATAATCCACCGCCGCCGGAATTGTTTATATATGTTTCACTAGTTACTCTTTTGCTCATGTCTTCCTCCACCTTTTGATAGATTTAGTCCTTAATTTACCTTTTACTTTAAACAACTTTACTTTATTATACAACCTTATTGTTTAATCATTTTATCATAGAATTGATCATAACACTGTGACCCCACTCTCTTATCATTAGACTTGATATTTGGATCATTAGAGTCATTTCTCAAAAAATATTAATTCTAGAAAAGTCTCAAGGGACTTGAGAACATTACCACATTTCATGAGAACTCATTGTCATTTACATATTTTAGGAGAGTTTTTCAATCATTTTTCCTTTATCCTTTTCCTTTTTTTGTTTTGTTTATTTTCTTAAAAAAAAATGAGGAGACAGCTTTCTGTGTAGGGCATATTTCCATGATGGAAGCGAGGCCTAATCAAGAAGGTAATTTGTCCAATTCTATTATCCAATAAAAAAAATTATTCCACTTCTTCATAATCCAAGAATCATTACTGCTCCTTTTTTATAAGTAAAAGTATTATCTCTTCATTTCAAAGTATAAGGCATTTTTAGGAAAGATATGGCATTTCAAAATATGAGACACTTTGATAATATGAAAGTTTCATTAAACAGGCTTATCCTAAAATTATCCTCTCTCTCTATTTAATTTTCATCCTCTCTCTTTTCAATATATTAAATGAAGGGTATTTTTGAAAGTTTATATTGTAATTTAAAAAAATTAGTTTGTTAAGTATATTTAATAAGATTTATTATATGGGAGATTTTGTCTAAAGATGTGTTATAATTTGGGATGAACGGAGTACTATTCTTTTTAACATTTTGGGTCAAATGACTTTGTTGTCCCTTAAATTATTTGGTACACTTTGAGTGTTAACATTGTTGCAATGTTGTAACAAACAACAACATTGAACATTAACTTCAAAAAAGAAGCATGTTTGATTGACTTGTGACATGCTGCCTAGGTGAAAAAATATTGAATTAAAGGGCATTTTTACCCATGAAATATTTGTGATGGTGAAAAAAAAAACAACTAGCACCTTAAAGTGTTAATTAATTATGTGGATTAATTGGCATCCTCATTTTTTAACTGAAACATGTCTCATAATATTTAAGGGATCACGCTTGCAAAAACTAAGTATTTATTAATAATAAAAAAAAGTTTATCAAGTCAGAATAACACTCAGTCAACTAATAATATTGTCGCATGTTCTTGTGTGTATATATATAGTAGCCATGCATGTATCTTTAGTCTTTATACTTCCAAATATTTATCTATAATTTTCTTTAAAATTTTTATTTTTAATTTAGTTTTAATAAAGATCGTAAAAGTGCTTTATTCTTTGTCATTTTCTTTATATAATGAATTTATATTCTTAGATATTAAACAAATCTAGAGTAATTTGGTGAAGACCTATGGTAATATTTTTGTTAAATTGAAGAGAAGGCAACCTCCCACTGTCTTACCTTTCAATTTTTATATTCTAATAATACAATGATATTTACTAACAAAAATGGATTTAACCTCATTTTATATATTTAATTCTGTAAAATAATATTTTATAAAATATTACGCTAATGTTATGTTTAATATGTGAGATTAAAAATAGATTAAATTAAATACTATCGGTCTCACAATGGTTTAAAAATTATTGACCATTAAATTAGTATATCACCTGATTTAATGACCATTCTAATTTTTAAGCCTGCTTTTATAAAAGTTCAAGCTTGATAAATTGCCTTTTTTTTTTTGGAAATTTGGTTTCGAAGCTCGACCCTAAAAAAGGGGCTCAAGCCTGGGCAACCCTCCACACCTGTTTTCCCTTTCTGCCTTTTCTTCCCCTATTTTAAATTGCATCATTTTTATCAAGTTTCTAGATTTGATCGATAAAGTTTTTTGGTCTTCATTTTAAACTTAGACTTGATCAAGGTCTAGGATATGGATTTGTATTTATTTATTTCTTTGATTAAGTATTTATTTATTTTGAATTTTAAGAAATTTTAATTTGTATATTATAAATTATTATATTGATTTTTAATTTAAAAAAAAAAAGGGCTTATGAGCCCAGCTCTAAGTCTTTTGAATAAATGGCAAGTTTCATAAATAAGTCTTTTTTAAGAAAGCAGACTTTAAGGCTTAAGCCCATATGAACTTAACCTGCCTGTTTCCTAGCTTTATGAATAATGTATGTTGTGAATGAACTCTATGGTCCTACACATAGGGTGGGTCCCAATTTTGTTTTGGTAGTGTGAGAATTCTCTTCTCTTTTCATTGCCATGTTGCACACTGAATTTCCTCCCTTCTGAGAGGGGAGTCTTTCCATTTTCTTATCATCCTTTTCCCTTTATTTCCAATCCCAATCATAACCATAGATATTACTGCATTAAATGGATTTGTTTTAGTCCATTGATTTAATGAATGGTCATGATTATTGTAATACTTGCCTTGTGTTAGCAAAAACACATCACAATTTAAGAAACAAAGTGTGGTTAAGGAGATAATCCTAAAACCATTTAAGAGACAACCCATTTCAATCATTAAACTAATCCCACCATAGGAAAATACACATGTGAAACAATTTAGAATAGTCTAAAGAATGACATTTAGCATACAGAAGCAAAACTAGGCAAAAGTAGGGGGAAAATTGCTGTCATTACATCATTGACAGCACCTCCTGGGCCAATTTCCACGAGACATCATTTTGTCATTCGACATCCGATTGAAGTGATTTTAGAGCCCACACGTCACTTCTAAAGAGTACTACTATTGTTCTAAATTTCAAGAAAATTCAACAGTTGGATTAAAACTTGTGCATGTTGCACCATCATGTATTGTTATTGTCATGACAGTTTTATTTTGTCGTCATAACAAATCTCCAAACAAATTTTTAGAGTGCACTGTTTCTCTATCTGATGTCTAATTAAGGTGATTCTAAAGCCTACATGTAGCTTATAAATACTTTTACTTGGGACCCAAAATTCAAAAAAATTCAATGGTCAAATTGAAATTTGGACGCCCGGATGCAAAAGTGCTGATTTTAGATAAAAACCATTTTTAAAGTTGTCTAAATCTCATCCTAATGGTTACAAACTTGTGGAAACACCTTGGACAAGTTGAATAGGACTAGGAGTATCTGATGGAATAGTTAAGTGAAAGAAAAACATCTTACATCAAAATTTGATCACCTGAGTGCCATTTCCCAAAATGGACCCTTAACCCCAAAATTCACAAAAATCATGCGAGGGTGGCCAAAAATCATTCTAACACTATATACGCATATAAATACACATGATAAATATTTTCACTTGGCTCAGAGATCCTCGTGGGGCCCACAAACCTACTTTCCCTATCCAAGGTACTTGTTTGCACATACCACTAAATAGTCACAAATACATAATATGTAATACAACCTCTTTGCATTTTTGCTTGTAGAATCACACACACACACACATTAAAATAAAATATTTTCTTGTAGTGAAAACTTGTCTACCATATGAATCCATTAAAATCACTTACCATGACTAAGTTTCCTAGCCACAAGTCTACAAGCAAACAAATACCCTATATAGGCATACAAACCACACATATATTTACATTTATGTACAACCACATCCTACTGGCACATTAACCTAAATACATTATAATACACATGCTTAAAAGAAAGGGGTTGCTATTCTTTTACAATTCACAAACGCAAACTCCTAGCTCTATTCTTTTCCTCGTCCATCACTAGATCCCTCACCTAGACTTGAAAATATAGAAAAGAAAGGGGTGAGACAACCATTGTCTTAGTAATAGAGAAATCTATATTTCTTATTACAAGGAAAGCCATGGTTGAGTATAATAAATAATAGATTCAACATAGCATATAATTAAGCCATTTAGAATATATGAATACATAACATAGGCCGATATAGCCTTTCTTGACCAATAGAATGCCTCCTGGAACTTTCAGCTCCCAAGTTAACTTTGTACCCACTTATACATCCACAGGCATAAAATATAATTTAAGGCATGATCTAATCCATCGAATTGCTTGTTCCCTTCAACTTGAATCTTGATTAGTTGAAGCTAACTCTCTTCTAGAGCCAACCTAACTTACTCGCCATGCACTACTACAAAATAAGCTTACAGGAGTGCTTTTTTTTGACCTTAGGGAGCGCTTTTGAAGCGCTCCCGTATCGAGCGCTCCGAAATGTACAGGAGCGCTTAAAAAAGTGCTCCTGTATGTACGCTATACAGGAGCGCTTTTAGAAAAGCGCTCCCGTAAGAGCGCTTTTAGAAAAGCGCTCCCGTAAGAGCGCTCCGGTCTCTAAGAACACACGTCATGTACGGGAGCGCTCTATATAAGAGTGCTCCTGTATGATGCATACCGGAGCGCTCTCTATAGGAGCGCTCCCATATGCCCCCATACAGGAATGCTCTTTAAAAGAGCGCTCCGGTAAGTTACTTTACAGGAGCGCTCTTCAAATGAGCGTTCCCGTATATTATATTTATTTTTTTAAATTAAAATTTTCAAATTTCTCCTTTTAAATATCTTTAATAATGGAAAATCATAATATCAAAAACTAATTTAAAAATAATATCAACATAAAAATTTATATACAAGAAAAAAATTTGAAACTGATACAACAATTTCAATTTTCTAACTAACCTAGTTTAATTTCTAACAAGCCTAACAAATGAAACTATTATTATTTTTTTAACATTGAAATCTAACTTCCTATCACAAATAGCCAATAATATATTCTGACCATTTTTCAACTAAATCTTCTATTTGCTCCATAGTAAAATGCGAATATCTTGCTCCAACAAAATACTACACAAGATCTGAAAGCAATATATAAGTAATTAACATTATATTAACTTAATTTCAAAGCTTTTGACTTACATTTTCAGGAATGATCAACTCTTGTTGTGTGATTACTTCTCTCATAAACTTCATAACATAGTATCCACACACCCAACCTTGTAATTGTGTAGGTACCTATAAAACAATAAAAGATGTCATTTATATGGTAGAAATAAATTCTAACTTAATTTAAAATACTTCAGTGATGAAGTTATATATATGATACAAGTATTTGCTGTCAAAAATCTGACAGAGTCTCCCCTATAACTTGGAAGTTCCAGAATTTTTCAAAAATTCTACATCAATCTAGAACAACATATTCAGAATAACAAACATAAAATATCAATCAAACAATCATTTAGATATGTACCAACTTTTTTTATTAAGAAAATAATACAAACCTTTATTCTTTTCCATGAATAAAACTCAACAGGATCAGGTCTTTCGGTGTTTGGAGGGGAGACCTTCACCTCCTTGATAACGTGCTACAGCCCTATTATATAATGATTAAGCATACCAAGTAAAAATTAATTGTTATAATAAACATATATAAAGAATATAGAACTAAAAACTTACTGATTAAATAATATCCTCATAGATTTATAGTTCTTAAAGTCACTATCTCTTAATGAATCAAGATAATAAATCACAAGGACGAATGTATTGATACAAACAAGCACCCAATGTTGCCTGAAAATATAAAATATTTCATTAACTAAAATATCAACTAAAGTTAAAAATAAACAATAATAACAATTTACCCTGGATTGTGAGGAGCTAAAAATAACATGTTTTTTTTGCCTTTGGCTTTGAATGCATCAGTAATGTTTTGAGAATGGTAATCAACACTATAGGTACTAGTGTTGTGCGGGCTAATAAATGAAAATTTTGTTATCAATGAGCCTGACACCACAAAAGTATGATATAAGTACCTTCAAAGTGTAGTCTTCATGGCAGCAGCGACGTCGATTCCTCCACTGTATAGCAGCGACCCACAGTGGCAACAGAGGTCTTCACGGCGTCCCTTCCTTTGGTGTACAGCAGCAGCACAGATCTGCAACAACAATACAGATATGGAATAGAGATGCAGATCTGGAACAGCAAACAGCAGACAGCAAACAGCAGATAGCAAATAGCAAAAAAGATGGATGGCGATCTGCAACAGCAATATAGATTTGGAACAGCAAACAACAGACAGCAAACAGCAGAAAAGATAGACGACACAGTGACGGCGATGCAGAGACCGGACAGCGACGGCGGCGGTGATGCAGGAGACCGACGGCAACAGTGATACAGAGGCAGACGGCGATGCGGCACAAAAACAGTGAGAGATGCACGACACAGAGAAGGAACGAGCAGCAACAAAAGAGAGAGAGGTTTGAAAGAAGCTAAATGGAGAAAAGAAAATTGACGGACGAATAATAAGTACATGTGGAAAGACTCTTCCGAAGTGCTTATTACTCTTCCGGAGCGCTCATCGCGAACGAGCGCTCCGGAAGGGCGAGCTATCTTTCGGAGCGCTTAAGTACGAGCGCTCCCGAAGGTATTTTTAAATTTTTATAATTTTTTATATATATTAATTAAGAGCGTTATCTTATTTAGAAGCCTGACATACAAGAGCGCATATTTAGAAAAGCGCTCCGGTAAATTCCGTATTCGTATTTTGGAGCGCTTATTCAAAAAGCACTCCTAAATACCCGCTCTTAAAGATATATTCTGTAGTAGTGATGTGAGGGCTACCTTGGCTTAGGCACTCAACCTCACGCATCACATGTTGAATTCCCTCCCCCACTGAGAGGTGTTGAATACTCAATCCACTAACTTGTTTAGTGCATTGAGCTAACAAATAAGTATGGCAATACTGAGTATTGGCAGTGTGCCATAGAATATCACAAGTCCATACCTCCCCATTAGTGAATTCCCACTGAGATCATGCTTCCTACTCTTTTCTACCTTTCCCAAGTATTGACCACTTCAACACTCTAAGGTAATATAGCATATATAATTCCTCCCTTAAGTAGTTCCTTTGCCTATCTAAGGTACTTTACCGAGTTACATTTCTTTAATTTCCACTTCTAGTTTCTATGATCACAATGCATGCTAGCAAAACCTATTTCCATAAAGAATACCATTGTTAAATAAATAGGAAAAACATATATGCATTATTATAAAAGTAATACCTCGTAAACCCTTATAAAACACATTTTTTTTGCATTCAATCATTTAGAATATGTAATGCATGCTAGCCAATATTATTTACTTAAAAATAGCTAAACAAAGCAATAAAAAATTTAAGTTTCCCCTATTACCTTAATCTTTTTGTACAAAAAGGGTTCCCCTTATACAAGGATAAGACTCGACTTATTTCTTAACATCAAAGTAGGTCCGACCAACAATCCTTATAACCAAAGTAGAGCAACTAAGAAGGAAAGGAAGAAGAAAGACTAAACACGCACACACCACACCTCCGACAGGCATGCAACACAGCAGAAATGGAGAAGAAATTCAGCTACTCTACTAGACTGAAATAGATGAACAACGAGGGAGAGGATTGGAAACTTGCCTACGGTGAGAACCCAAGGTGCAGTTCGATAGAGAAGAGCAAGGGAAGAACTAAAATTGGATGATCACTCAAACTCTCTCATTCTCTTGTTCTATTTCATTTCTTTGCTTTAAAAAAAACTGACCCTTTTTTTTAAATTATAGGAATCAATTTTCTAATTACCAAAATATCCTTAATTTAATGAATCAATAATTTTTTTATAATTCAAATCCGGGCTTTAAGAAAATTTGGGATGTTGTAATTGTGAAAGTTGAGGGAAAGATGATTAAAAAAAAATAGAGACCCCTTCTCCCTCCCTTACATGAATTTTGCTAATATTGATTGATATCCAATATATAAAAACACTTCAGAGAGCACAATCTATGAAACCAAGTTGAAGAAAGTGTTAAGTATTGGCTGAGAAAACTTAATTAAAAAAATAGATGATGAATTGCCTCTTGAATTTCTATGTCCATGAAGTGGAATATTTATAGATTCCTATAATTTACTTCCCTATTTTTCATACAACATATATAGTTTATTTTTTAAAAAATAATTATGTCTCTTTTCCACGTTTTTAAAATTCATTTTCATGTGTAATGTATATTCTATTAATATTATATATTTCGTGCATGACATGCGTGGAAAAAATCTTAATGTTTGAGGCTGGCATAGTTCACTTCTACACACATCACACATTTCGACATTGAAGATTCAAAACTCTCTCCTCACTACTGAATCATACAACTTAAAGAGGAATATAACGTATAATTAATTCTTCGTTCACTTACTGAATCAGAAACTAGGGAATCAATAGTTGATATCTCAGAAATTATATACGGCTTAGGCGCATGGGAAGCTGACAAGGGAGATAAGGTAATATTCTTTTGTATTATTTTGCTTTCTCTTATATTGGTAAATATTGTTATCCACAATTGATAAACTAGCTTCTGAAGTTTTGTATACAAGTTAAATACATGATAAACACTAACAAATACAATATTAAATTTTTGTTGTGTTACTAACAAAATAAAAACAAATATTATAACATAAAAATTCACTTTGTTTGAACCATCAGCAAATGATTGTGAAGTTATTTCAAATTATTTATTTATATTGGCCTTGCAAGCAGCATGGTATTCCATCATTTTCTTAAAAGTATTTCATACTTTTTGCACGATAATTGAATATAACAAATGTTATTTGTTAAAATGTGTCACGAATTACCATATGAAGAATGAATCTGTAAAATATTTTTGACATTTAATATGTCTTATCTTTGTGTACATTAATTTGAAGTATTTCAAAAGGACATGGTGTGAAGTTTCTTTGCAGAATGAAGCTGTGCATAATATTAATTCTTTATTTTCAATTTTAATCGAAATATATAAACGTACCTATTCTTCATTTATAGGTTAGAATCAAGTACCAACTTTATAGTGAGCACGGTGAAGTTGAAGATGAAAAGGGGCCTTTAGAATTGACTTTGGGTGTGTGTGAGACCAAAAATACATATGGCAAAGGTATGTATCTGTTAAATAAGCTGACACCCAACTAGCTTTTTAGAGACTTCAACTAGCTTTTTAGAGCTAGTTAAATAAGGTTCTATATATAGTGTTGGATATAGTTATGACCATTAGAGACTTCAACTAGCTTTTTAAAGCCGTCACATAGCATGCTATATGAAGCTATTGTGAAAAGGAACTATATTCACAAAATTCATTAAATGCTTGTTAGAACTCTACTACATGCATGCATGAGTTAAAACTTGCTTGCATGAGACTAATATAAAGGCTCCTATTAGGCTCATGGTAATTATTGACTGCATGCCTTTTGGAACCCATGTGTGTTTGAGTTAGGTACAAGCACCAGCTTTTCCATAACTCAGAATCACGCATGGACTTAGGCTAGAACTAGCGTGGGCAAGACTCAAAACTTTCCAAAATGGGTAAGAAAAGAATTGAATACAACACTTAGAACAAATCATGTTTGGTTTAGGTGTTCAAGTCTCTCACTATGCAAAACTTGAGTGTCATTAGATAGAAACTCGTGTGGTTGATATTGAACACACAACTATATGTGCATCCACCACTGACTAGAACTTGTGTATATGGGAAGTCCATAATCATGGTCTTCTTTGCCAATCTATTTTTCAAGTGTTTCAACTTTGAAACTTGCGTGTTGAAATTAGATAGTCAACCTTCATTATGTAGCTCTAAAATTCATATGCATCATATTGTAGTTCATGTGTTTGAGTATGGTAAAACCTAAGGCTATTCTAGAACTCTCTATGTGAGCATGCAAACTAGAACTTGTGGAAGAATTCAACACACAAAAACCAATCTTAGGCATTTCATCTAGAACACATATGTTCTAACTAGAGCTCGTGAAAATTAGGCTCAAACATTGAAATGCTTTATAAGTTAAAATTAATATATATGTGAGCCTATGACTTGTTCAAAAAGGTTTTCACCATTGAATGCAAATGCAAGATCTCTATAATGGTTTTTAACATTTGAACTAAGATCAAACCTAGTAAATCTATTTCTTCTCTCATTCTTGCTTCTTTGATTTCTTTAGATGGTTTTGTCATAATATTAATATCCCCAAAACTAACAAAACATTTTCTCAAGTTTTGTATTCATCATAACAAACTATATACAACATTTTCCCACTTTTTGATGATGGCAAAACCTAAGATTGATATTAGTACTCTCAAAACATAATTTTCTCTTTCTTAATATATAAATAACTCAACAAGTAATTTAGAGTAAAAATTTAAAACATGAATACTAAAGAGATCAGAGCAAGCACTACAAAAAAAATGACTTTTAACGGTGATAAAAAGTCACCACCAAAAATCCAAAAGTCACTGCTAAAGGTTTTTAACGATGAAAAGGATTGCCACCAAAAGTTTGGTCACTAATAGTTTGTTTGTCGTTGCCAAAAGCATCTCTTTAGTGGCGACAATTGTTTTTTGCTGCTAAAAGTTTACCTTAAAGTCACTATAAAAAACTATTAACAACTAGACTTTTGATGGCAACCTTTTGGTAGTAAAAAGTCGCCACTAAAAACCTTTAGCGATGACTTTTTGTCACCGGCAAAAGTCATTTTTTTTAAAAAATAAAAGAGCCATCTTATGCCACTTTAACACATCCTCGTGCCACATCAACTGACCACTTGTGCCATATCACCTGCCACGTGTGCACCTCCTTATGCCACGGCACATACCATATCACCCTATCATGTGTGCACCGTGTCATGCCACATCACCTAATAACTTGTGCCACATCACACCACATCACCACCACATGCCACATGAGAGCGTATGTCGCTTACACCCCAAAATAGCTAAGTTAATACTAATATTAGTACTAGTGGCAACTTAGGTCATTCTTCACTAAGGAGGCTAACTAAGGTTAATTAAGGCTAACTAGTAGACTAAACAAACCAAATATTGATTAATTTTAGCTAATTAAACTAAGTGGACAGATTTAATAAAAAATCTAATTAACTAGTGAAATGGACATGGGATTGTTTAAACCTTTCTAAAGTGGAGTCCTAGGAGTTATGGGATGCTAGAATCCTTGTTTATTAATTTTAATTAGGCTTAGATTAATTTCCACTCTCTTGATCCAAATTAAACCACTTACATAATTTTGTATAAGAGTGCCTTCCTAACCAATTCAATTAACCAAGTCCTTGCATGATTTTGTACAAGTCCCTAATCAATTCCTTAGCTAGGTGCAAAGTGATCAAAATCTCCCTTAGTTTCCCTTAAGTGCAGCCTAGCCTATGGTACACACATAAAACATATATTTATATGAATTACAATATATTGGAGAAAATTTCCAGCAACTATAGAAAGAAGAATCAAGTGAAAAAACAATAAACCATTAAGTTAAATACCAATTTTGGTTAATAAAAATAAGATATAATAATGCTCTTAATTTTAAGAATAATATTACATCAACCTAGGTTTAATAAAGAGTGATCATGACCTTTATCTTTCCTTGAGATACTTAGGACTCCTCTAGCATCCTTCCCTCCTATCACTCCTTTTAGATTTAGTCTCTAGTCATCTTGGAACCCACTTGATCAAAATCCTTTCACCATGGCTGAATCATACTCATGAAGACCTTAAAGAAAATAAAGCTTAGGGTTTGAAGAGTGAGGTGGAAGAAAAAGAATGGTGGAGTCGGATTAAGATTTTGATGGTTGGATCATGAGATATAGAGGAGAGAAGGTAAGAGGGAGATGAAGAATAATAGAGAGAGAATGGAGAAGGGTAGAGGTTGGAAAAATGCTAAATGGAGGTGGAATGAATGCTCAAAATGCAATTAGAATAATTTGATTTAAGTCTAGGGTGAAAGAGCCCAACTCTAATGTTTAGTAATGGGTGAAAAATGTCCTAAAGTAATCTTATTCTTTAGCATGGTAAAATGGATGAAAATTTAGATGAAAATGGTCTGAAAATTGAATTAAATAAAGCTAAAGACAATGGAAAATTAAGAGAGACAATAAGTGGAATTAAAGTGTGGTTCAATGTGTGCAAGACCATACAAGGCTTGTACTTTCACCCCAAAACTCAAATGTTTTGGCTCTTGACTCATCAAGTATTCCAATCAATAGTACTCATGTGCCAAATCCAAGGGATACAAACTTACACAAATAAATGTGACATACAAGATCAAAGTTCAAAGCATAGAGATAATAATTGCATTTTCAATTAAAATTAATTTCCAAATATGTGTCATAATGCAATTAAATAATAAAAACTAATTATGATATCATAAACGAGGCTTTAGGGCTTGTCAAATAGCCTAAAACTTGTAAGCCCACACATGCACAAAAATGACCTAGGCTAAGTGTAAGAAAATAAGTTAAACCGAAACTTTGACTTTCCAAAATTATCAACTTGTGAAATTAATTACTCTTAATCTAAAATGAGTTTGAGAAATCTAATTAGACTATTGATCTTCTAGACTAAAAAAAGCATCTTGACAAATTTTCTCAAACATTTTCTCAAAAGTCTATTTTTATGACCAAAATGCCCTTAATGCATAAAATCTTATACTTAAGTGATTTTTCATAATCAATGCAATAAGTATGTAATTTTGGAAAAATAACATGATTTTTGGTTAATAATCTCAAGGAAAAGTGTGTAGTAAATGTGACTTATCAATTCCCCTATACTTGCCTTTTGCACTACTGGCAAAAGTTAAAACCAAAAACAAACTCCCTTAAAATACCAAAACAAGAACAAAGTAAAATAAAACAACTTGTCAAGGGTAATCAAGTTAAAAGTCAAGGAAAGTTTTTACAAAATAAGATATGTTGTTGCTCTAGTTGGAATACCTCATCAACCACAAGCAAACCATTAAAAAGATGCAATTTCATATAGAAAGCCTCACAAAGATAGTGTATGCACTTAAGCACTCAAATATTTAGGGTTTAACATTTTCACTCAAAATCTTTAGCAAAAATGCCCTACTATAAGCTTGTAATCCATACAAAGATAGTGTATGCACTTAAACACTCAAGTGTTTAGGGTTTAATAATTTTACTCAAAATCTTTAGCAAAAATGCCTTACTATAAGTTTGTAATCCCTCTACCTCTCCACTACTAACATGCAAATGTTCTCAAGAATCAAATAGACTTTAATGGGATGTAATGTGATTGTGAAATGAATGCTCTTTGATTTACATGTGAAAGCTAGGGTTTAGCTCAAGGAATTAAGTCTTGGCCACAATGTAAATATGCAATAACATTCAAATGTTTCTAAGACTTCACTATATGGATACAAAGTGAAAAATGGATAAAAATGTATGTGGAATAGATGTGAAAAGCAAAGAAAAAAATATGTAACTTCTAGCCCAAATATCAATCCTTTTATTCAAATTCTTTCTTTTCTTTTTTTTCCTTTTTGATTTTCTCATCATTTTTTTCTTTTCATCTTCCTTCTTTTTTTTTATTTCACATTCCTAGTCATCTCGAGTATCAAGTAATAATGACTTTATTTTCTCATCATTTCCTTTAAACAGTGCAAAATTCAGAATCAAATATGACTTTATTTCCTTTGTCACAATACTGGCTGACACTAATGAGGTTGTGAGGTTGTGAAAGAGTCCTTTGATATTTAGAACATCTTCTACACTTACTTCCTTTCCTCTTCCAATCTTTCCAATCCCAGCAATGTGTCCTTTTTTATTTCCTTTAAAGGTAACATGACCTCTTTCTTTCTCAATCAATTCTACAAATTGATTAGTATCGCCACTCATATGCCTTGAGCACCCATTGTCTATGTACTACTTCTTTTTATTTCTTTTTGAGACTGAGGCAAACTTGTAAGGGAAGATTATTTCACTTTAGGTACCCACTTCTTCATGAGTCCTTTCTTATTAATTGGTTTCCTGGGTATATTGGTACCTTTGGGAACCTATTTCATAGAGCAACTTAAGTCATTCTTCTTATGAAGACACAATTTGACATGGTGACACTTTTTGTTACAGTAAGCACAAG